TTGATATTCTGAAACTAGTTGGTAAGGAAACTATCAATCACTTAACTAATGTATCCTCTTCTTGCAATACATAATGCATCAATCCCATCAACATAGAATAAAACTAAGATCTGTCTTCTACACAAAAAAAGAAGTATTCATAACATTAAAAACTATCGCCCTATATGCTTGTTGTCTGTGCTGTACAAAGTGTTTACAAAGATCTTATTAAACCGAATTGGTTCCATCCTTCATTCAGACCAGCCCATTGAGCAAGCAGGATTCCGCAGCAGCTTTACCACAATCGACCATATTCTTGCCCTACGAGAACTAATTAGTCGAACAAACGAATACCAGATGCCTCTTTGTGTAGCTTTGTGGATTTCGAAAAGGCATTCGATTCCGTAACTCATAAGGCTGTCCTGCAAGCCTTAACTGGGCAGGGTGTGGAAATTGCCTATGTCAGAATGCTTCATTACATCTATGACACCTCCTCAGCCTTTTTCAGTGACAGTGAGCCAACTACAGACTTCCGCATTGAAAGAGATGTTAAGCTAGGTGACCCCATCTCTCCGAAGTTATTTTCAGCTGTGTTGGAGATGGCGGTGTCACAATTTCAATGGGCAGAAAAAGGAATTAATATCGATGGCAGAAGATTTAATAACTTGAGATTAGCAGATGACATTGCACTCTTGGCCAACTACATGAAGGAACTCCAAACCTTGGTTTATGATCTTGCCTCTGAGTGTAAAGCAGTTGGCCTGAGCATAAATCTTTCAAAAACAAAAGTTATGTCCAATAAATGGGTCACCGCTGATGATATAATAATGAATAATGTATCTATAGAAAACATCAGTGAGTACTTTTATCTAGGCCAACTTATAGATATGTAAGGAGATGTAAGACCAGAAATTTTCCTTCGCATCACGCTAGGATGGCAAGCATTTGGAATACATGCTATTATTCTCAAATCAAATATGACCATAAATCTAAGGAAAACAGTTTACGACCAGTGCATTCTTCGAGTGCTTACTTATGGCTGTGAGTCCTGGACACACAGTGAATTTACAAAAGGAAAACTTAGAACAGCCCAAAGAGCTATGGAAAGGTCAATGCTGGATTTTACTATAAAAGACAAGAAAAAAGCAACAGACATCAGATTAGTTACCAAAGTCAAAGACATCTTGGAGAAGAAAGCGACCTTGAAGTGGCAATGGGCCGGCCATGTCGCTCAGATGAAAGCTGGACAAAAATGGTGCTGGAATGGAGTCCAAGAAATCATCGGAGACCAAGAGGAAGACCACCAGACCATTGGGACAAAGACATACGCAGGGTTACTGGAGTTAACTGGCAGAGAATCACCCAAGACCGTTTTAACTGGAGAAGACTATTGAGATACTATCTGTCTGAATTCCTAACTCTAAGAGGCCACATCATTTCATGATTTAACTGGCTGTTGATGATGTTGAAATGGATGTTATGGTCTTACACCCGTCGCACACGGAACGATTTTCCTTACTATGTGTGTGTGTATATATATATATATATATATATATATAAACACACACATACACAATGTAGGAATAGTGCTATTTTCTCTACTTGTTTCATTGCTAATTTCCCTCAGCTCATGAGAGCAAGTAAAAATATCAACTGACTATTTACATGGCATTATACTATAGTTTTGGCGGTATTTTCGTAAGCTATGGACATGGAAAAGTGGACAAAATAACAGACAAAATTTTCAATAGAAGCATAGAAGAAATATTCAATATTCATATACAGATATCAGGTTATCTGTGAACTCGCCCAAGTATTCGGAGATCATTGGCATTACACTCTGTTTTCATTCCTTCAAGCTAACCGTTCTCTCGTCCCCAGGCATTTACTTTGTCTACATTTCTTATTTTCATGATGTAAAACTGTAAGAAGTGTAATCTCAGCCATTTTTCTTCGCCGTATGTTGCTCATGGTTTATTATTTTTGCCAGCTATCAAAAATTATGGTACCTGGAGTTACTAACAGGGAAAGTAGCTCGCAAGTAGATTCCATACTGTGTGCAGTAAAACCAGTGCGGAGCCGGCGAGTGTCCACGTTAGATAGCTCCTTGCTTAGCTCTCAGATAATATCTCAGCGAAACTCGGAGGGAACATCGTCCTGTCTGCACCAGCCTTTACTTGCACGGAAGCCCTAAAGTTCTAGTGCATATACGACGTACGAATAACATTTACCGACAAACTCCAGGGTGTGATTCCTGAATAGAATGTAAGACGAGAGTGTATGTACCATTTTCCCACAAAATTATTATTAGAGTAGCTGTGCACCCCCCAAAATTGAATTTTTAAAATTATTTTCGTTAAATATAGTAGGAACTACTTGTGATTAAGCAAAAAATCGGTGGATAGTTCTGTGAAGAACGGAGATATTATAACTGTGAAAATGTTCTTGGTAATAATACCTTCCGGAAGATAGAGATTTGCTCTCCTGTGTTTTGTTGCGAATCAATACCACTATTTTCCTAATGACAGATAGGCCATAACCCACCATATGTGATGATTTGGGCTGTACTGTCCAGTTCACACCTCACACTCCACTGATTCTATGATGGCACGGTCGATCATCCTTCCTACCTCTCCATGCCGAGACTAGTTTGTTCCCGAGCTACAACGATTCGGCGTTCGGGGGGGAAATGGCTCCAGCATGACAGAGCTCTAGCACATTACGCTGTCTGTATCAGGGAATTCTTGCAGGAAGATTTTCAGGTTAGGTAATGCTATAAGTATCAAGGAAATCTTGTAGGAAGTGTTTCAGTATAGGTTGATTGGTAACGGATTTGTTCATCTGCCTGCACCTATCGAATGGTCTGCGCAAAGTCCAGATCTCATCTTTTGTGGCACTGCCCTATGGGGTGTTATTAAGGAATGTGTTTCCAAGCGAAGGTACCGGGAAATTTACAATTTGAAAGATGCAGTTCCTTTTAATTCACACAGATTGATAGCCCTACTCTCAGGAAATTTTCGCAGAGGACTTAGTGAGGAATTATTTTGTGTAACGAAAATGGCGGGGTTAATACGGACCTTCTGGAGCAGTAAATTTATATCAAATGTGCGAATACGGTTGATTATTAGTATTCTGATTGCAGTTTCACACTGTAAATTCTTGTGTCAGCCATATGAACACTGGCAAAATGTGTACATCAGTAAACGTTGGTAACCATGGGAAAGGAGAGGGAGGCAAGAAGACTTTCGAAACTCATTTCCCATTTTTACGTCTAGGAAAATAAATATTTATCTTTAAACGTGCCACCCTCTTTGAGCACTATAGTAAGTGTGATTATGCGGCGAATTCAGTGGGAAATCAAGTATTTCAGTTTGTTTCCAAAACACAAGAAATCTAAAATTAAGTTCGCATGAAAATGACGAATAAAATCTTTAACAAAGATTCAGTATGTTGCATTTATAAATGGTTGTAGTTAATTCAATAATCGCTGTTAAAGCACATGACGTTTTATGCATTAGTGGGCAAATACAATCATATCATTTTATGTTACTTCCCATTTTTCCATTTCGTGACTTGAAAACTTCACCACAGATTTGGGAGTGTAAGAACTATTTAACAGTTCACTGTCATATCGAGGACATTTTCTGGGAGCAATTTCGATGTAAGTATTATTTTTGTTGACTACTTACCTTGCTCATACTTAAACAGCCTTCGGCGTCTATTTTGAAGTGAAACTGGTAGTGGCCCGTACAGATATTACAGAAACACTTTGCTCAATTGATGTTATTTGTTGTAGATTAACTTTAACATAATAAAATATTAAAGACAACCCCTCATCACTCCATCCCTCTCAAAATAAAATGTTAGTAAAAATATTTCAGATATATAAACACATATATACGATACATTTGCAGATCACGTTAGTTACAGAATGTACAACTTGCTAGCAGATATATTTTTCTTCTTCTTAACGATAACTAGTCTGTGCCGTCTTCGGTGTATTTTCTGTTGGTCGTATATAGTTTTTTCGTATACGTTGATAGTGTCTTAGTTTTTTGCATTTAGCTTGCTGTCCTATTTTATTTGACTCGATTCCTTAATGCAATTTTCTGGCTTTGTGCACAGCTATTCTTGACTACAGCATACCTGGCTTTTACTCTGCCGTGTCTGGTTATACTACTGTGTTTAAGTGCGTGTTTTGTTGTGTTGTCCTATTTTGTTCTTACTTATTTTGCCGGGGTGCCCTAGCATTTTCAAACAGGTTTCTTGCCTGTGTTGGTTTTTAGGTGTTATATGTTGGTAATGTTAATATACATAATTTTCGAAATTAGTCACTGTTCTGTTTTTTCACTCTATTCCATCTTGTGATATTTAACTTTTTTCCCCCTTTCTCAGTCCTGCTTTTCCATGACAGACATCTGCATCGCAATGGCGAATGTGCTAAAATCTCCATCCAGTTATTCACCCCCATTATACTATTCATTCAAAGATCACATTATATACAGTTTACCAAATTAGTTTCAATACTTTAATTTATGTTGTCCATAATATAATTTTTATTATTTCTTTATTATCGATAACCTGTGGTTTTAATAAATATTCTAAAAGTGGCAATATTTATACAAATATTTGTTATTAATATTTGTGATTAGCGCTAATGTTATTATTTTATGATAATAATACTTTAAATGCTTTGGCAAAGGTGATAGAAATCATTTTTAAAATTAATATTTAGTCTTTTGGTATCTTATTTCACGATTTTCATAAGTTTCAAATTATAATATTAATATTTTTATTATTATTGAGTTCTTTTTTAAATATTCAATACGAAAATATTTTTTTTTTATAGGTTAAGTTGAAGATATTTGTTCATAGTAGTTGCAGTTTATTGTGAAGAATAGCATGCAACGAAAGGTTTAAAAAAGGTACAGGAATTATAACTTGATAATTATATCAGATCTAATAACTTGTGAAAGTCCTTTATGTAACCAGACAACGATAAATAGGAAACGACTTAACTTTGTTTCCATCCGGGATCGAACATGAGGCCTTGAACGTGTGAGCTGCACGTGATAACAACTACATTATAGAAAGTGAGAGGTACTTCAAACACTGAGTCCCTACAACTGAAATGTTAAGGCGCTGAAGTACATCCGCCCGTCATAATCGCAACGAAGCTATCTCTTCAAGCTCCAGTAATATTTCCCGAGGATTGGCTTAATAGACGTCGTGATTATCGCACGGACATGGTTGTACCGAAATAAATAGTCTGTCGGAAACCTCAGATACCTATGTTATAGTCTGTTCTCGGTAAAATTAGCACTTTTGAAAGCCCTGCTTTAGATATACTTGTATGCACGCTGTGTATTCTACCGCCTTATGTAAGATTAACATTTTCACAGGTCTCGTCACTTTATTCATGCGTTGGTCAAGTGAACCTGTGAAATTATTACAAAAGTAAATATTCAACAAATCTGCTGATTTTTACACTTCGATGCATTAAAAAAAACAGTAAGAGAAAGAAATAATTTTGGTCGCCAGTAATGGTTACCTAGCACCTTTTATTTGATTTGAAGATACGGAATTACTTTTCATCCATCGTTATCAACTTTATTGGGTGTATGTCACTCAGGGCGCCCATTAAAATGTATGCAGGTAGGGGCTGTGACTTTTTTCTAAGGTTGATTTCAAAAGTGCTCACTTTATCGCGGACAGTCTAAACAGACAGATTCTCTCAGGTGATAAAGAAGCGCTGCTTTTCACATTAAATAGCAGTTATCTGTTGACACAGATCAGAAATATTATATTCCCTCCCTAAGAGTGTTAATATACTGAAAATTAATTTCTACAAATGTATGATTCTGTTACACACTCTCGCTTAGTCTGGGTTCTAGTCACCCTTCTTCCCTTCCCGGCCGCCAATCAGAGATAGAACTGCTCCGAGTGCAGGGGGAAAGGTCAAAGCGCAGCTCATGCTCTATCATTCTACTTGGGCTTCACTCCCATGTAATACATATTGCACCACGGTGTCGACCTCATCACAGTGAGGCTGGTAGCCGCAGTGGACGGCGTTATGCCCTAACGTCCGTATGTGGGGTACATGTCACACGTTGCCATTAGTCAGGCAGTGTCCTCAGGACACATACTACTGTATTTCCTCGACGCCCTCGTGCCAAACAAGTTTGTGCGGATGATGGCTCTGCTTCGAAATCTGTCATTTGTCATGCGTTGCCCCACTCTGGGTACACTTCTCAAACTCCAGTTATTTATTTTCAGTAAAAAATATTTAGTTTATAAATTTTAAGTTCCTCTCGAAAAATTCATAGTTTCGTTACTGGCCTCTTGCCGCCTTATAACTCTTCTTGGGAACCACTCAAACAAAAAATATGTATTTCTAGCTGAAAACATTACTCACAGAATAAATTATATACATTTAAATCCTTCAAGTCACAACTCGTATTTAATTGATGTCATTTGTAATATCAAATTCCAATAATTAAGTATATAAAAATATTATAATAGTTACGTAAATTTTCTGGATTTGGATAAGTAATTATAATTACACACAAAAGTGATTCATGAGTATTAAAATTCATGCTTCTGAAGTGTGTGTGTAGGCGTACAAAAATAAGTATATGCGCAAATATATTTCCTTAATAGTTATGTGTCATGTAAATTTACTAATAAATGGGTAAACTAAGGTTATTAAAGGTTAATACATTTGATTTAACTCATTGTAAATAATGTCAAATATTAACATTTCAAACCAATATACAATTTATTAATAATAAATAGCAAATATAATTTTCTGAATTACGATTATTTTTGCAATGTGGTAAAATTTGATTTCATTACTTGTTAAAATACCTCGTATACGGAAACAAATAAGTAAATAATACATTCACTTCAAAAACTATTTCCTGAGCAATTAATCTTAAAATACAATGGGCTAGTAAAATTGGGAGATGTATATTTATATGAATGTTTTACAAACTCTAGCTCAATTAGGTCAACTTTAAACACGAGTAACACAAAACCAAATGAAGTCAAATTTAATTATAATATTGTGAGTTTCTAAAATGGTTTCTTATATGGTAATGACATGACTGTGACATCAATAACGCAGCACACTTGTGGCGGGATTCATGCCTGGGTGACCTCGGCACCTTCTACTGGGGTGTGGTGGTGTGGGTCAACTATCACAAAATGACCTTGCTTATTTATTACACTGGACTTCTCATTGGTGCTGAAGAGAAATAATATATACCTTTGGCCAACACGAAGCCAAGACCGATTGAATGCTCTTTACGCTATTGACATCGAAGTGGACATGTGTCATAAGATACATTACGGTCATGTTATCAATGACTTTGCACAAAAAAAGTGTAACATAAACTACTCTAAATATGAAAGCCATGCATGCATAAAACGGTTAAGGCTGCTCCTGTAGTGTAACATTTGTTTCATTATATATTTCTACATGTATTTTACTACGGAATATATATCTAGCTCATGGATGAGTTGGTTCTTTGAAACAGGGCCAGAGGTGGGGGGGATAGTAAGATGTGTCAAGTACACCACCTAGGGAGACAATGTCTAAATACGGCGCTGAATACACTATAATGTGTTTTATAAATAATATAATTCGTGATTTCCTGTACAGATTCAATGCAGATTTCAAAGCCAATTATATAAAGAGTATCTTTGTAAACAAACTCCAGACCTACTTTCTCCCACCAGAAAATTCTCCGCACTTATTTGTACTAATTACAGATATATACATTTCCTGGTGTGGAACATTACTAGCTTCATGTTTTCTCGATAAAACATGAGCCAGTGAGAACTTTCAGAACAATAATATTGCCCTTATATCGGTACAGTTTTGACCAATCCAATACAAAAGAAATCTTAGGCTATGATATATGCAGTGCGATTCCGCGTAATCTGCCTCAGTAAAGTAATATTTATTGGATATTTTATTTTTATAGCTATAAATAACAGATGTAAGCCGTTTGAAGAAAATGCATGCAATTCCGATTGATTTCCGATATTTTCTCCAGTATATATTTTGTGTCCCAATGGAAATACTTTTTAAAGCTATTAATGTTATTTTGTAAATCTAAATCAAGTCATAAACATGCATCATAAGAGAACACTGTAGACTTGAAACAGGGAATATTACTTGGCTTGAGTAAGATGAGTAAAATGTGCTCCACTGGAAATAAGCGAAAATTATATTTCAGTGACTAAAATTTAGTTCTCTCTGGCCCTCTGTACTGGTACTACAAATAAGAGATTGGCTTTCTGGTTCAATTTTCTTGATATTTCCCGACACTGGTACGTAATTTATTGATAACAATCATTCTTGTTTAGAATGGGAAGACCACAGCAACCACCACATATCAAGAACAATTTTTCCTTTATATTATAGTGATGGTGAAGAATCGTCACCTCTAATTGGTCCATTAAAGAAGAATAAAATATTTGGTTAAAAACATGTTATTTCCTAAACACCTCAGACTGGAGTTATGCAGGTAATTTTGCTGTCTGATTTATTCATCTTTATGAAATATTGGTTTACATATAACCAAATGCTTTTTATGTTAAATTTCACTTATTAGTACACAATGTTCTCTCATCCCAAACAGTGCCATATTTCTCATATAATATCTACTGGGGACTCAGGAGGAGAATCATCATCTAGTTCACCAGTCAGTCATCAATAACCAAGTTAGCATTTTTAGAGTTTTCCTATTCAGAGAAGAATGACCATTTATATCCATATGTTTTACATAACAGTTTGAATAATGGACAATTGTATTTTCTTTCATATCTTCTACATTCCCATTCCACGCACTTTCTAAAATGTGTTTTTGCTCGACTCCACACATGTATATTTCACATTTATTTAAGTATTTCTTGCAAATATCTTCAACATTCTCATACTCCATACATCCACTCTCCCAAGTTAAACCATGGTGGGGTTTGGTAATCCATCTATTTGTTCTCTTGTATTTAGTAGTAATATATATTTCCATTTGTACGGTGCTTTGAGGCTGAAGACGATTGTGTGTTCCTCCATATCAGTAATAGATCATTCTTTAATGATAAATGGATCTAGAGATTGAAATTCCTGCACATTTCAAAACATCTCGACAGAATTGTGGTTCGTTGTCTACTGTCTCAAGTCATCTTACAATATAGCTAGCCAATATATCATGAATTATCAAAGCAAAAACTTGCATATTTTCTGGAATGGGTATATTCATAATTATTTCAACTCATGAATCAATGATATTTTTGCTAATGATATTTTGTTTGCTTATATCAAATACAAACAAAGATTCTCTAGTTCTGGTTCTAGTATTGGTGAACTAATTTTGTTATAATATGTTTCCTAAAAATTTGAGTGCATATTGTAGCAAATAAGGAATTCCTCATTCCCAAAGTGTCTACTTAAAACTTTATATGGATAAGCTTGACTATTTAGATAGAGTTAAATATTTTTCATATCACAATTATCGAATAATGATTGGTTTGCTTTTAAATTGTATTGTTGCTTTGTTTGAAAACAAATGACAACACATCTCAGTTTTTAGATGAAAAACATGATTTTACACTCCGTACTACTTTTGGTGATGTTGGTAGTGTTGAAAAGTCTCCAAACCGCATGATCTGAAAACAATGTCTAAATTCTTCCCTTTTTCGATATATTTTAAAAATTTCACACATTCATGAGTGTTAACTTCAATATGTGGCATTAGCCATTCGACACTGTTTAATTCAATTGTTATGCCTTCCTTGTTATTAGCTGTGTTGTATATAGTATTCAAATGCATAATACCAAATAGAATAACTAATTCTTCTTTAGCATTTAATATGATGTATAGTCTTCAGCAAAGCCAAGTATCATACTTAATTGTATAACTACTTCATATTTTCCACCTGGATTTATTTGTAGTGAATAATCACTAACATTGCACCACCTAGTCATATGGCCTATATAACATCATTTACACTTTGCAAGGGATAGTTCTTTATCGTGGAAGTAATTCCAACATCTCTTGTTTGATCGAATTAAATACCATTAAGCA